ACTGAACTAGGAGGAAATTTATCTATCAACAAATTAACTTATTCATCCAGAAAATGATTACCCATTTATTATGTATTTTCAAATCCACACATCTGACAAATACTATAATATTTCTCTTGTTTGTACTTATTCTTTTGTGCTGGTCTTGGAGCTTGAATTTAGGGCCTCGGAGTTGCCCCTGAACTTGTTTTGCTCAAGTTAGTATTCTGCCACTTGAGCCATAGCAATACTTCTGGCTTTTTTTTTAACGGGGGGGGGGTGTTATTCATTAGGGATAAGAGTCTCACAGACTTTCTTGCCCAGGCTGGCTTCAAATTGTGATCCTTAGATCTCAGCCTCTGGTCTCAGTAGGTAAGATTACAGGTATGAGCCACTGGTACCCAGTTCCTGTTTTTATTTCTACTATGAAATACACTTACAGACCGGGAACTAATTTTATTTTCTTAAGTGATGCTGAAGTGTTCAGTGATTCTCAGTTAAAATGTATTTGTATTTTCAAAAGTACTTAATAACTGATACGTGTACGTACATGTATAGAACAGTATTTATATGCACCACCATCTTTTCTAAACTAGAGTATTTAAAATACACTAATGTGGAAAACAGTTCTGAGTCCAAATTAATTAGTAAAACAACCCACTACGTCTCCAGTGAATGGAGAGGCATGGAGCACAATGCCACATTGAAAGGTGAAAAGGTATAGCCAACATTTCCCATGTTTATGGACCACAGAACCTCTTAGGCCACTATTAGAAGATACTCGTAAGAACTGTTCTCTGAGAGCATTATGCAACTACAAAGCTTGTAAGAATAATATATCCTCAGTGTTCCAAAATTGCTTTCTGACCTACTCTCCTAGGTAATAACAAAGCTAATAGCTTTGTTTTTCAGGAAGCACTGAATTGGTTAGCTGAATTTGAACTTGTTGCCTATAGGCAACAAGATAAAAATACAGAAATACCTCTTTTGGTATCTATCTCCAGTTAAAGAATACACCCACCCCACCTTGTTTCACTGCTTGCTTTTCTTTGCTTTGTCAGTAATTAAGAAGAACATTGTTGTAGTCATTTATTAGGCATCTATTTTTTCCCACCCATGCCTAAAGTAAGTTAAAGAGTTCATAATAGTAATTGTATAAGTCTTGTATAGATTGAATGTAAAAAAAAAAGCAAAAGTCCCATAATACTTGGGATAAGATTGCATCTTATCATTGTTAGAAGTACTGATCTCCTTGGTTCCTGAATAATAACCTACATGGTGTATACTTTGGGTATACATGGACCTTGACTATTCTCCTGACCTTGAATGTGAGTGAAATACACAATAATTCATCTCCTTAATATTGGGGAGGCTGAGAAAGGCAGGGCATCCAGCTGTGATTGCTTCCCAAAATAGATGTAGGGAGAGACCAGATAAAATACATGGATTACATGTGGTAGGGAGGGTCTGTATCAAAAACATAAGCTTGTGAGGGGCTGTAGTGGAATAAAGAGTACCATGCCTCTTGCAGTTGGTTACATACTCTTCATTGTGTGTGGGTACTTGTGAGAGATGCTGGGAAATGTAGTTCATTTTTTTAATCTTGCCAAGAGACTCATAGCCAGCAAAGACAGGTAAAGAGACTGACCAGAGGGACCAGAGACTGATCAGTTGGGAGTTGGTGGCTATTCTATAACCCCTAGATTCTTAGAAATGATAGAAATGAGGGCTTGGGCTGGGAAGGTGGCTCAGTGGTAGAGTGCTTGCCTTGCGTGCATGAGGCCCTGGGTTAAGCAGAAAAAGCTGGAAGTGGTGCTGTGGCTCAAATGGTAGAGTGCTAGGCTTGAGCTGAAGAGTTGAGGGACAGCGCCCAGGCCCAGAGTTCAGGCCCCACAACTGACAAAAAAAAAAAAAAAGAAGGCTTGATCCAAGTGTATATAAAGACTCAGGAGACAGTGATATTCACAAGATATCTGAATTATAAAAGCCTTAGCATGATTCATTGATAAAATTAAAAAGTACATTCAGAAAATAGCTTTGCTTCTGGCTTGAAATGACCATAGCTATAAAGATATTTGAATAATTTTGCAAAAAAGGCAAGCCTTGGCCATTTGGACAGCAAGGTACTTTAGCAATGGCTTGTGATGAGCTTCTTTTTTTTTTTTTTTTTTTGTGATGAGCTTCTTTAGCTAAGCAGCTCATCTCTGCTCATCTCTGGCTGAGTGAGTGGAAATATGCTAAGGGCCATGTCTATTTGGAAAAGGATTAACAAGGAGGGGTGGAGTGGAAAGAGACATGTGAAATGTCCTGCCAGTTCATTCATGCCAACGGTTACTCTGTGTGTGTGGCAAAAGTATACAGAATTTATTCAGAATACCTGGCTCCTATATTGCTTATGTTAATTCTCCTTTTGGCATTTGGATCTCTCTACCAATAATGAGAGGAAAAGTGGGCAGTTTGTCTTCAAGCCCTGTAAATAGAGAATGAGTTCATACTTGCATTTGCTCATGGCAGAAAGAATTAAGAGACCTGTGGGAGGCTCTTTACTTCCTTTATTTTGTACCTAAAGAAACAGAAAAGCCTAATTCTGGTTGGAATTAAAAAGTGCCTTTTATCCTTCCATTAAGTGATGGTAGTTTAAGAATGTGTATTAAGAATTAAATTAAACTGTGACCAGTTTCTACTTGAAAAATAAAAGAATACAGACATTGGTGTGAAAGGGAAAGTGAAAACCAGCCCAATGGGAGCATAAGATTTGGAAGAGATCAATCTCATTTTGTATTGAAAATTGAAAGCTTTTAAGTTTCTCCTCCTCTTTAGACAATTTGTTTTTTTTTTAATTTTATTTGTGAAGATACTGTACAGAGGGGTTACAATTACATGGGCAGGATAATGCGTACATTTCTTACCAAGCATTGCAGCCTCCTTTTGTTTACCCTTCACATCCCTTCCCAGCCTCCCCCCTCCCCCCCAATCCCAATCTTACAATTTGTATTTGGTATTTAATTATACCTTATCTATGAGTGATTTTGCTGAAATATGAAAGTTTATGTGTTGCAGACAAGTTATCTGTGGCCATCATTTCTTACAGTGGTAATGCCCAGTGTGTCCTGTGATACCTGGTACATCCTGTTGCGGGGGGGGGGGGGGTGGCCAAGTCTCTGTGTGTGAGGAAGGTGGTGGTTGGGGGAGGGAGGGACAGCTTGTCTGTGTTCTTTCTTTGTCTTGACAATTTTTTTCTGGTAGAATGCCTTCACAAGCAGACTTAGTTTTAGGTGAGTGGCCTATGTATTATGTTTAGGATTATCTAATGCCCTGTAATAGAAATTGTGGTAGAATAGATTCGGGAAGGGACTTGGGACAGTGGTAGAAGGGAGATTGACTTGTGTCAGTCATTATGCACCAACTTTGGAAAGTTTTGCTTTACTACTATGCATATATCATATTTATTTTAAAGGAAAACAGATTATTCTTTGAATATTTTCATCTCTGGACAGAATCCTGGGTTTTCCTACCTTGTCCTGCAAGAAACATGTGATATCTTCCTGTGAATTCATTGACTTTGCTTCCTCATCTCTAATTTTAAAATTTCTACTCATTTCACAAAAGTCACCATGAAATGCAGTGATCTTTCAAACCCATTTGACCGTTTGACCTTTGTCTTGTTTTGCCCCCTTCTCTGCACCCCCACAGCACTTTGCTGCCACTTTACCATTAACATTCTGCTCTCCCTTCCTGAGCCCTCTTGTTTATGCCCAGTGAGATATCCAGTGTCAGTAGAACTAAGCAGCCCATTTGGCATTCCCTAGGTACCCCAACCCACTCAGCCTTTGCTTAGTGTCCATTCCCTCACTAGCCAAATCCCCCTGCTGCTTTCCCATTTGCTGTATTTTAATAGTTAGAAACATTCGAGCCAAAAACAAACAAAAAAACAAGAAAAAAAACACCTGAGAATAATCCTAAATTTCATCCTCCTATAATTTTGGAATTCCAGACAGCTTTACTGTAATCTGAGTGTCTTGGCTTTGTTTCCACCCTGTCTCTTCATTTTACAAGTAGCTCTTCGGTTAGACAGTGCCATTCCAATTGCACTTAGGAGGAATTTCATGCATATAAATGTTCTTTCCTTGTTAAAAAGTGGGGGACAAATCATTTCAATGATCCCCTGCCCTGACAGTTTAGTGTTTATGAGTCTAGAGGAAGCTCATTCCAGAAGAATTGCCATGTTGGAGACTTGAGTTTGGTTTTTAAATTTGAAATGAAATGAGCAGTTATAGCACTTCCCAGAACATAGGGTTTATTGTTATGGCATTCATTCTGTATTTTGTTTGATTTTCTGTTTAGTAACTTAAAAGTAATATCTTCTGCCAAATTAGGATTAACTTTAATATGTCTGCAATTTCTTACATATTCAATATATTAGATTAAAATCATTAAATAAACAGCTAGATTAAAATAACTAAGATTTATTATATCCTCATTATGTGACACTCGATGCTATCTTATCATTTAATTTAATCTGCCTGGTAATTTGAGGTAAAATGGAGAAGCTGGGTTCTGAGTTTTTTTCAATTTGCACAGGTTATGCTGCAGTGGCATGCCTCTTTCCAGTGATTTCTCCTGAGGCTCGTTAGATATCAGCTTTAGTATGACCTGTACTTCCCTGAAAGTAGCAGAGTTAAGGACTGGATTTATAGGAGTATCTTTTTATTGAGGGCTGAATTCCACAGTCTGTAATTTTTGTTCATCAGGGGCCATTTCTGATGGCAGGAATTTCAGGAGTCCAGTGTTATCACCAGGGTTATTCAGCCGTTGGGTGATGCAAAAGTAGAGGGTAAAATGTTGGACTAAGACTGAATGGAAAGTGATTTTAATGTGGCTTTCCAAAAATCATTACCAAGAGATAATTATTTGTTTTATGTGATAATAATCTCTTTGCTGACTTTTTTACCTACAGGAGGGCAGGCATCTGAAAAGTATTATGGTCAATAACTCATTCTTTCTTTTTCTCTGCCTCTCAGTGCAACGAAACCTCATTCTTTTTTGAAGCTCGAAGTAAAACCGCTTGCAAGCACCTCTGGAAGTGCAGTGTAGAACATCATACATTTTTTAGGTACGTTTTGTATACTGTACTGGACAGTTTTGTACACTGTTCTAATAAATAAAAATAGTGTTTCTTTTTATAGCAAATATTTTATTCTGTCTACAGACAACTGTAGAGATGTTCCTTTTTATTAATCTATTTTGACTCTTAATTTATTGTGGCACAGCACAGGGCTTACTAGAATGATGAAGGCATTTAGACAGAGGGGTCGAATGAGATTACCATGGAAATGATGATAGGAAAGGAAAATTAGAAAGCTAAAAGCTGAGCTCTGGACCTTCCCTGGATTTGGAGGAAAGGAACTGCTGAGAAGACAGGAGAAACAGCAACTAGGATGCTGTGTTAGATCGTTGGAAAGGAGGAGCAGAATGCAGGAATTATATGCAGTGTGCACAGGCAGGGGACATGGGGAGAGAGCCTTAGGTAAGATGAAGTCAGAAAATTCGCTTATCAACACACCATCTTCATTGTTTCATGTCCTTACATTGTAAAGATAAAATAAGAATTTAACAGGTAAAACAGTCTTTATTATTTCTTTTAAAGGACCGAGGTTAGATTCTTTCTCTTATTTCTATTTATTTTAGGTTGAGCAATTTCTCTGGTATAGGAGAGAAATATTCTATCAAATGACTAGTGTCCTTCATATGATTTGTCTTAGGGGAAGGATGTGACCCAGAAAGCAGATCTAAGCCTTTGCCTTTAGTTCAGTGAGTCTATCTATTGACAGTACCCTGACATGAGGGCTGGGCATGGTGGTGCATGCCTGTGATTCCAGCTAGGCAGGAGGGCAGGGATAGGAGGGTATTACCATCTGAGGCTAGAGACCCTGTTGGAAAATAGACTACATGAAGAGGGGCTGGAGATGTGGTCAAAGTGTAGAGGGGCAAGTTCAATGTCTTGAGTTCCAAACCCAATACTGCCTTAAAACAGGAAAATACTGGAGTATACTATAAAAATGAATGAAGTACTGTGTCTAATGTGATTAACTGCCATGGAGACCATAATGTGAGAAAATCAATTTAAGCAGAGGAAGTTAGTTGAGTCACAGCTAAAACTTCCTAGGGCAAAGACATATGTATATAATGCTCTGTAGAGGTATGAGTTGAGTATTTGATATTATTATACATATAAAATAACATCCTAAGCTATGGCTCTGTTTCAGGTATTCTCTTAGTAATTGCTTATCATTTCTTGCCAATATTTAGAATAAATTCAGTATTCTGATTAGTTTTGTTAAAATATGTTGACTAGTTTTGCTATATTTTCTAAATAGCTTTATGCTTAGATGTTGTACAAGTATCTGTGTTTATGAAGTTTTTTTTTCCTAAAAAAAATTAGAATGCCGGAAACAGAATCAAATTCATTGTCAAGAAAACTTAGCAAATTTGGATCCATAAGCTATAAGCACCGCTACAGGTAAATGACATTTTTCCTCCCTTTGGAGTTTGTGCATGTAAATAAGTATTTAATTCAGCTGCCCTCAGACATGCATCATGACGTGTGTGATTTAATTGTTTTCTTTCTTCCATGCTTTGTAACTAGCAGTTTATTAAAGTTTTCTTCCTTGACAAACATGACTTTCTGATTGGACTATAGTAAATGTCTGCTTTCACTGTACTAAGTTCAGGACTTTTAGAATATAGTTTATTATTTAAGTTTTCATTTTTATGTGGTTATAAATTATTTCTAATTATGATCTATGAGCAAATAGATATTCTGAATAGTGGCCATGTGTTCTTAACACATTCAGTTTATCACCTATTGACTACAATGTACCTTTTACATTATAAAACATATCAATACTTGATATTATACATATAGAGGGATCTATATGTGTAATATCAAACCATGTTTCTGAAGTACAATGTTACTATATGCGTAAAAACTGCTTATCATGATTATCATTATTGAGTTATAATTAAGGATCATTATTGTCTGAATGTTTTCCTTTTATTGCTTCATTTAATCATCGAAGCAGAGAAGAGGCTTTCCTCATGTCTGGCAGTCTCAGGCCACAGCCTTTGCTTTTACATCAAACAGCCTGATGATGCAGAAGCATGATAGTACTGCAGCTTGTGTCTTTTTCTAATGCTAGCAGTAAAAGGGGGACTGTGTTCTCTATTTTGAAGAAACATTTGTTTTGTTTCAATTCATTCTGTTCATCAGTGAGCCCGTGATGGGCAAGACATGCTGTTAGGATCCCAGGGATACAAAGAATGTGATCTAACCATTTCTCCCTTCAAAGAGACATTGTATTATGCTGTGAGGTAGGTTACCAGGCCTACACTACTAAGCATCAAGTAGAAATGGCACCCTGGAGACAAGACCTTCTTCTTATTCCATTAGAGATGTCACAGAAGACTTAAAAATAAAGTAGTCACATGGACAGAACTATGACAGTTCTTTCACTTTAATAACTCTCTTGTCTTAAATTTAAGACTAGAGTAAGAGTTATTAAATGTTAATATTAAAGTGATTAATATTATATGTTCAGTGCATTTCCCTAGCATAAAAAACCAAATAGCAACAAAAAAAGTTTGAAAAGGTAAGTCTTAATGAGAATGGAGATTAGAAATCATGATTATATTTACTATTTGTAGGTATTGTTTATGTTGTTTATATATTAAACCCAAAAGATAGAAATAGATCATTCACAATTCCAAAAATAATTTTAAAAAGTAAATGTTAGAGAAATTAAAACCAAAAAGTTTTGTGATTGAATTCAAGACCTACTCCCAGTCCTTTAGTTTTTTTGTTCAAGGCTGGTGCTCTACTTTAGCCACATCTCTACCTCAAGCTTTTTGGTGGTTAATTCAAGATAAGAGTCTCGTGTATTTTTCTGCTTGAGCTGTCATTGAACCATGATCCTCAGATCTCAGCCTCCTGAATAGCTAGAATGATAGGTGTGAGCTAGAGCCTGGCAATTCTTCTATAATGTATTGGTTAATTCTTAAGTATTTAACCCTCAGGCAAGATTAGGAGGGCTGAAGTAAGATTATTTACTTTTACATTTAGGATAGCTAACTGCCAGGATGGAAGCTGTTCTTTATCTGCATGTAAACCTTTGCCAGGGTTAGAAAATAGGCAAATCTTTCTCCTGGTCACTAGAATGCAGCTGGTAAGAAGGCATCTGTCTTAGTGATGTTATGATTAAAATGAGAACATATGCTGTAGCTGACTTCCACAAACATAACCATACATGATTCCCCAAATTTATTGAAATGCAAATGTTGTGGCTATTGGGAGTTACTATTAAGAAGTTATTGAATTTTGCATATTAAATATCATTTCTTCCAAGCAAGTAATTAAAGGTAACCTTTGCAGAATTGGAGTCGCTGCTAAATCTTTTCTAATTTTATGGCTAATGTTGACTGCCTAGTCAATCTTAACGAAACCCAAATCTACATGTCTGTATGTAAGACTCACTAACCTTATTCCAATTTTGGAAGAGATATGATTTGTTTCCCTTTACAGAGTTTAGGAGAACAGGTCTCTGACTCTTGGTAAAAGATGACAGACAGATGGGTTGGGATTTAGCCTAGTGGAAGAGTGATTATCTAATCTGTGCAAGAGGCTGAGTTGGGTCCTTAGTTAGTACTAAAAAAAAAAAAAAACAGACAATAGCCCTTAATTAGCATTGTGTTCCTCTCCCTTTGTTGAGGCAATCTGGAGCTACCCTGGAATGAAGGCAGAGCTCTGGACCACAGGCAGCCCAACCCCTCTTATCCTGGAGGCTGTCAGAGTTGAGGGGAAAGACAGCCTCTCAGGTGGCCGTAGTATGTGAATGTGGAGGGGTGTGTGTGTGTGTGTGTGTGTGTGTGTGTGTGTGTGTGTGTGTGTGTGTGTG